ACGCTTTCCTTCTCTCTCTCTCTCTCTCTATATATATATATATAGGGGAATGCTTTCATGCAATGGTTATATAGAAGTATAATGTAACCATGTTAAAAACATTTATTTAACACGATTTTTTAAATGTATACTCTTTTCATTTTGAAGAACAATCACAAAAAAGAAAATTTTGAAAAAATGCTCTAGAACGTTTTCATTCTAGCCCAATAAATATAGGCCATCCATTTTACTGAGATCGTTAGATATAAGCCTCAGAAGGATGTTTTTAGTCCAAAATTTTTTATTGAGATCGTTAGATATAAGTCACGAAGTCCAAGAATTTTTTTGTTGGAATTTTATGTCTATTTAATGACACTCTTACGACCACCCATTTTGAAATTTTAATGACAAGAATGATTATCATCTCAATGTACAAAAGATAAATGGTCTCTTTGTATACAATCCCTTAATAATATAACATTCGAAACGTTTTTGAAATAATTATCTAATGATTTTCAAATGGATCCTAAAATTTCATATTAGAAAAAACAAAAAAATCTCCCGTATTTGAACAAACGATATTTATTTTATTTAGAAAATACACTGGCTCGCATGTGTTGGGAAAGCTCTTTAATTTCATTACATGGGGTCTAATAAACTGGTCACCAACTGATTTGGACCAGAATTAGAGGAGTCCAGGGGTCTTTAAACCCAAACCGGTCATCCACCGGTTCGGAGCCGGAGCTAAACCACCGGAGGCTGTTAGCAAGTTTTTAAAAGATGGGAACGGACCATTATATGGATTTCAAAAGCCCCCTTCCATTTCTCTCACTTCTAACCTTATTTTCTATCTAGAGTGGCTCACCTAAACCATGAACAAACGCACTATTTCTCTCTCTAGATCCGCCATCTCTGTCACAAATTGAGTTCAATGTAGCTTATGATTTCGTGATGAAGATAATGAAGAAAACTCTCTTCTCCTTTCTTGCACTAAGCGATTGAAAGTGCTAGTTAAATCCAAGCAATTTTTAGTGTCTTCAGTTTAGTTGAAGGAAAAAGCATGGGCCTAATTTTCTTAAAAAAAAAAAAGGAGAAAGAGAAAGCATGGGCCTGGAAATGGGTTTTACCTTTCTTTGCTTCAATGCAATGGGAATAGGTCTAGATTGAAAATCATAGATAATGAAATGGGGAGCCATGGGTCCATGACATGATCTAACCTAATGTGAATATTTTACATATCTTGCTGTCCAAGAAGGTGTAAGTTAGCATTTTATAAGAAAAATCCTATAAATTTATATTTCATCAAAAGTCATAGTCTTGTAAAAAGTAATGCTTGTCATATGCTGCAGGAGATGGGTTTTAGTCATCGTCATCATTATCAAAATTTTATCTCAATATTTGGAGTCGGCCTCAAGAAAAGATGCAGTGAAATATTGCGTGACCTGTTCATCTAACACAACCCTCTTCTTTTATCTGGGGTTCGGATTGGCTGGCCATGGCGGAGTTGGGGATTTAGTCCTACATTCACAAATTGGAAAGAGTTAAACATAGAGAAAATTTATCTACTGTTGTATCAATGGAAACAAAAGAAAGATAAGGTCTACAAGAAGCATGTGAAGTATTTGCGCGATCAGGGTTATAATTGTGATAGGCATAGAGCAACTATTAAACGCGATCATAATTAAAGTTAAAAAACAAATCAGTGTGACTGATGGCTACTTGAATTCATGAACAGTTGCATGTTTTTCATGTATGAGCGCATATACTATGCTCTTTCGGGACCATAATTTACATCTATTCCCTTGGTTAAATGACCTACTCGAGAGGTTTTTTTCAATCTGAAATTTGGTAACCATCTTAGAATCACTAAATGATTATTAATGAAAAAAAATGAAATTTAACTTTCCTAACACTTAGATACCTTTTAAAAATTGGACGTTTCTATTCAATCTTAAGATATTAGTTTTTCAAGTTCTTAGAGGGGTGCAATTAAAAAATCTTTTTATTCAGTGACAAAAACATTCCAATTCATTAAAGGGCATCTCTACTCTCTATACAAATTGCTTGAAGCTCTCATCAAGACATAGTATTTGAGAAAATCTCTCTTACTTTTCTGACATTTTCCTTCAAAGGAAAGGAAAATCCAACAATGTCAAAACTACTTTTAGCATAGTATACTCCTCAAGAAGTAAATTATATATTTGATTCCTCCAGCAAAACACCCACTTAGGAGGATTGTCACATATAAAATTTTAAGAGACGTGCTAGAATCACCATACACTGTCCTTCTAAAGCAACTGTATTACCACGGATGTCGTTATTTGGGACCTTGATCCGGGGGGAAATTTTTCAGTGGGGTCTCTTTACAAACATATGGCTTGTGACGGCTATCATAGACTTCTCCCTGGGATCAACAAAGTGTGGACCTTCTATGTTCCGAATGGAGTGAAGGCCTTCAGAGACAGATGCTTGACTGTGGAACAACTTAGAAAGAGAGGGATGATCATTACAAACATTTGTATTGTGTGAAAAAAATGAGGAAACCAGTTTATATAACCGAACCCAATTAGTTGGAAAAAGAATTTGCCCTCTCGATGATATTGTCACAGATGAGAACTCTATGGCGTCGTTAGCTGTGAGACCATAGTCATTATATAGGTAACGCATAGTGGTGCTCTTTCTCCCTGCACAGACAATGAGGATGAGCTCCAAGCAGTTAGATAAGGAGTACACAGACCGGGCCGTAACTATAAGAAGGTGGTTATAGAAGGAGACTCAGACAAATGTAATTCCATGATACTCCCACCCCTCTTCAACCCCTTAGGAGATAGAGACTTAATATAGATAAAATTCGAATGGAACTAGAGGGTAATAAAGTTATCAGCATGTATCCCAGATAAAGCAACCATCATGCTGATGAGTTGGCTAGAATATCAGGAGGACATTAGCTAAGGTCATTTTTAATTCTCTTCTCTTTTGTTTCCTATTCTTTCAATGAGAATTTTGGGTACCCTTCCCTATTCTTTTTCCTCTCCTTATTTGTTAGAGGCACCTCTCTCTCAAGGTATCCCAATGCCAAGCAAGGATGCAGAGGAAGGGTTGTGTGGTTTTCATTATCTGGTTTTCATTCTTCTTTCTTTTGCCTTTTCTTCTATACATAGCTCGAAGTACATCTCGCACTTAAAATGAAAGTAAGAGCGAACAATCAAAAAAAATATAATAATAATAATAATAATACTAAGTCCTAAAACCAAAATCTAAGCCTCAAATAAAAAAAAAAGAAATTACATGCTTTCTATTCAAACGGTTACATCTCATGTGATTTGATCTATGAACCCCCTGAGCAGCATTCAACTACAGTAACCAATGCCTTTTAACATTTTTTTCAAAAAAGAACTAAACATGTTAATATGATATAGAATTGTCTATAAAGAGACCATTTGTCTTTTGTACATAGAGTACCCGATCATTTTTGTGGTTGTAAGAGTGTTATTGAATAGACGTACAGTTCCAAAAAAAAAAAAAATTTCTCAGATTTCATGACTCACTCCAAAAAATCCAATTTGATATTTTATAAGTGGGAATGATTATGACATCTATATACAACAGAAAAATGCTCGATTTGTGTACAATCCAATATAATAAAAAATTTCAATCCGAATTGATGATCTACAATTCGGATCAACGATTTTCAATCCACGTAAGCAAGTTTTTAAACAGTGCTCGTGGCATAGTTAACAAGTTAACCTTAAAGTGAAGGGCATATCCGCAAAATTCTAGGAGAATTCGGGTTCAATTCTTAGTAACAAACTGTGTCTCCCTCCCACTTTTTTCAACTTGGATCAAAAACCGTTGTTTCCCGATGGGGGAGGGAGCGGCGTATTTGCAGAAGAGGAGTGAGAAACGGCCCATGCTCCTCCCTTTCCCGGTATGTTTCTCTCTCTCTCTCTCTCTACTAAATTGTGACATTGTAACCCTTCAAGATCTCTTTCTCTCTACCAGCTCCACTGTTTCCTTTCCTTTACCAGTCACAAATCTCCCTCTCCATCTTCAATGGTGTTTCTATAACGTCTTCGAAGTAATGGCTTTGGAAAAACTCCAGGCACTCTCTCTCTTGAAACCCCACTATGTATTTTCCCTTCTCATTCCTTTTCCTTCTTTCTCTTCTTCCTTTGAACTCTATTCCACAAAAACCTCTCTTCTCACTCCGTCTCCTTCTCTCACTGGACATGGACTTCTCTTAAGTGCTTCTCCTCCTTCTTCTTCTTCTTCAATTGTTAATCTTCTAATGGACTCACTTGGCCTCTCTAAAGAATCAGCCTTGGCCGTTGCCTCTTCTTCCCGGTTGGGCCTCAATAAACCCACCAAAAATCCGATATGTGTGCTAAAATTCCTCAAAGACTCTGGTTTTCATGATGCCCATATCTGTTCCATTGTAACGAAGAGCCCCAAGATTCTTGTGGCCAATGTTGAGAAAACCCTAAAACCCAAGTTTGAAATGCTCGAAGATTTGGGTCTCTCTGGTCCTGATCTCGGGGCGTTTCTATCTCCACGTGCATTCATCGTCTATTACAGTGCAGAGAAGAGGATCGCCCCAACCATTGAATTCCTCAAAAGCTATTTGAAAACCAATGAAAATGTTCTTAGAGTTCTGAGAAATAGTTGGACGCTTTCATTTCCCATTGAGGAAAGAATCCTACCCAATATGAGGTGCATGGAGAGCTATGGAGTTGGTCCCTCACAACTGCAACAATTGACAATCGTCCGGCCTAGGTTGCTTTCTCATAACCCCAAAAGACTTAAGGAAAATTGTGAGAAAATTATAGAGATGGGCTTTAATCCGAATTCTTTGATGTTTGCTCATGCTCTTCATGCATTCAGCTCGATGAATAAGGAGACATGGCAGGCAAAAGTTGACATTTTTAAGAGTTTTGGGTGCTCGGAAGATCATGTATTTTCAATGTTTCGGAGGGCACCTTATACAATGTCTCTCTCGGTGAAGAAGTTGAAGGAAACAATGGAGTATTTTGTTAACAAACAAAAGGATGTTTTGTTCCATTTGATTATGAATCCAAAAATTTTTGGTTATAGCTTGGGGGGAAGGGTGATACCGAGGAACAATGTTTTGCAAGCTTTGAGATCGAAGAAGTTGCTCAAGAAGGATGTGAAATTATCATCAGTTTGTTTGTTGTCGGAGAGGATATTCTTGCAAAAATTTGTGGGGTGTTTTGGAGAAGAGGCAGATTACTTGCGCCGGATCTATGAAGAAAGCAAGGGCAACCCAGAAATGATTCTATGATCATGGGTTCCATGGAGGCTTCCTTGCTTTTTGATTGTTGAATCAAAGGTTTTCTATCTTCCTCATAACCTTTTTTGGATTTATAAAATTGAGACCTTTTTTTTCATGATTTTTGCTTTTGACTGGTCCTCCTCTGTTTTTCCATTTTATGAATACTGGTTTAGAATCAGAATGGCCTTTAACCTATTGTCTGTTGTAAAATCAGCTGATTCTACTTTTGTTTCTTTGATATCCATTGCCTCTAGTGGTTGTCCAAGATATAGTATGAGCACTTGTGTAACAATTTTGGAATAATGAGTTGAAATGTTCAATTTCATGTCTGATATGCCAAAATAGCTCAAAGTTATGGTGCCATTATATTCATTGACATTTAGTTGCTTATAGCGTTCATATTTTGTTGAGATCAATATTGATTTGAGGCATTCTTTGAAATTAGAAAGTTGACATTGTTTCTACCTACAACTTAGATTTTGTGCATTAAATGTTTGCTTGTGGGCTGTGGCAAAATATTTAATCAACACAATAAAAAATAAATGGATTAGTGTGAAATAAACAGTTAAGATTAATCAAAGACATCTTTTTTTTTTTTTTTTTTGAGAGAAATCAATCAAAGACATCTATTGAATTCAAAGAACAAGGAATGACGATTGTATGAGGATTAGAGGTTGTTGTGTAGATTATCTTAGGCCTCACTTTTTCGGCCGTAGAGATTTCACTTCACGGTAGTTGTGCCTGAGTGGGTAGTGTGCAGCTTGGCACACCACCATCTGCAGAGGTTTTAAACTTTTGGAACCCCTCTTATTAGCAAAATGCCGGTGAAAAGGGGCATTTGCACGTATGGATACAAAAGAAAATACCTTTTCTCTCTATCAGCAAAAAAGTGGATACTGTTCTACTTGTTATGACCCCTGTGTCTTACCTCTTATCACAGTTTCCCATAAAGCCAACTAAAGATGTCCCTTGGATATGACAACCAAAACATTCAGATAGGGCCTCACAATTTTGTTGTCATAATAATCATCTAAGATATTTGATTGGGTTATCAAATGAATTATTACATACTTATAAGTGGTCTAGGCAACCAAAACACAAACGGGGCCTTACGATTGTCATAATAATGATGTAAGATATTTGATTGGGTTATCATATGAATTATTACATAATTATAAGTGGTTTAGTATTGTAGCTGGGCACTATGGTCAATCAATATATCCGAACTGTCCAAATTGGGCCTTACAATATCTTATCGAAAAGATGGCTTTTGGTTCGTATCTAATGTGATCTACATGTTCTGCATTTGCAGCCAGAAAACTCTTTCTAAGTTGGTGTTTTAGTATGTTCAAAGTTGGAACTTTATGTACAAGAATGATCGATTCTGTTGAATGTACACATTTTTTTTCTGATAAACGTTAACATTTGTATTGCTGAATGGAACGAAGTACAAGTTGGAGGTTAGTCCGAGAGTGCCCTCTAGGCGGGACTCATCGATAAAAAAGAATAGGTCGAAGGATCCTATACAAAAAATGGGGTTATAGAATAGTCCCCTTAACAAAAAATGGGGTTATAGAATAGTCCCCTTATAAAGTTTACAATGGGTTCACAAAAAACTGGCCCCTTGCAAAGTTTACAGTGGAATAACAAAAGTGGGCTAAATAAGATGCCCGAATACAGTGAGTTTTCCTTCTAAGTAATTCTTCTTAGGTCTAAAGCGGAATTGGGCCAGGTGTGCACTTCTTCATGAGCCCTCGCCCCATCCTTCGCCAGGAAGTCGGCGAGCTCGTTGGACATCCTCGAGATATATATCCAGCAAACATCCATATCCCTGCAAATGTATATAATCTCATCATAAATCTTTGCCAAATACCAAGGGGGTGTACGCCTTCTAGTGAATTCCATGTTTCTATTGAATTACATGCTGAATGTACACCTTTCTAGTGAATTCCATGTTTTTATTTTATGCTTTATTAGCTATCATTATTTATTTATCATTCATATTCTAGTTATGTTCTCTAGATATGTTAGTATTCATGCTATTACTTGTCTTTATTTTAGATAAGCAAAATGATGTTCATTGGTTGTTTTAATGTTTTATTCAATAATTGTATCAAAAAGAGAAAGATGTTTATTCAAGAGTTTCTCCATCTTTGCTATTAGATGCCTTTCTGGTTATTCGTCTTTCTTCTATCTAAATGGATTACACCCAGATGTATATGTATTTCCTTTATTTTATAATGCAATGCACTGTTAAGAATACTGCCATTTGGGATAATGTCATATTATGTATTTTTCATATATCATAGTCTCTTATTAAGAACGCAATAAATTTTATTCTATCTTGGCAATATCTTTCTTTCTGACTATTACTTTTGCAAACTGTTAGATAATATTTTGTTTTTAATTGAGGAAACGTATTTTGTGATGTCATGGCTTGATGCATCGAACACCTTAAACCTTGTTGGAAAACGTGGCTCCAGCCCCATAAATTTTTCATATTATTTATCTACACCTCAACAACCATGGACCTAAAGAATTCGATTTTAAGCTCTAAAAATGTTCCATCTTGTAATATTTTTTCTAGGTTGTCCGTTTCAAGTCTTTACAGGTCTGTAAGATTTGCACTGTTTTTTGGAGTTCCAAAATCCACAGCTAGGGGCAGAAATTGATCTGAAGAACATCACAAGGTTCTCAAGTGTTGCATCTAATTTCTAGTACACCATTTTGAGGTGAGGCCCTCTCAAGTTTTATGACCTGGGAATGGGGTTGAGGTCGTGGTGGTCGTACCACCTGAGTCTCAGTTATCTGTGTAGGTATCATTCCTACTTGCGCATCTGAAAACTACTAAATATTTCAAAAAATTGGTAGGGGCTTGTACTCCCATTTGATATACCCAAAAAAGAAAAGAAGTTTCACGAAGCCCTGGCTTATCAAAAACTCGTCTATTTATTTTATTTATTTATGCATTTCCTTATTTCTTTTTTTGCTTGATGGATAATGCTTCTTCCTGTGTATAACAGTAAATCAGATAAAAAATTCAAAAGCACGGAAGAAGGCATTGAACCCACAAAGAAAATGAGAACAAAACTCTAGACTGTTGTGGAACTTTGCTTTTGGCTTTCCTTATGACCGACGCTTGTGCTTCTCTACCTTTTTTACTTCATAATCCTTGTATTAATGGTTCAAGTTGGAGAGTTAATCCATTCTGAACTTTTGTATCATTCACTTAATGATTAATGAATCTTGAATGGAACACGATTTTTGTAGCCCCCACCCCCCACCCCCCCAAAAGATTTGGGATAAAGCTCGGATGTATCATTCATTTAATGACAACAAAACTGTTTTTACACTTGAGGATGTGCTATTGACAACTTTAAAAAAAAAAAAGGATGTACTGTTGGCCTTTTTATTTGAACTTTTTGAGTTTTGAAATAGATATAAGCACATTAAACATCTAATGGACACACTAAATGCAAGTGCTGCATCAAATTAGCTGATTTTGGATATCTAAACAATTTAACTGTGCAAAAATCGGATGGTCTGTCTTTTTAGAGAACTGTGCAAAAATCGGATAGTCCCTATGCAATATTTTGACATCAAAATTTCGAAGCATTTACAAAGTCTGATTAACCTTTTTTCTATTGGATGGATTGCTCGAGCAGAAGCAGGGAAGCATCTATTATACTGAAATCATCATCATCTAAGTTTTTTCTCAACTCTATGGGGTCATTTGGTAAAATGAAAACTGCAAAATACTGCCCTAGTACAGATTGCTTCGGTCATGATCAAACTAAAGTTGCCCAAAACTATCAGACACTGGAGATTGGCCTACATCGTAGATCACCATTACAACAACATAATCAACGTTTCAAAAATGGCGAGCTTGTCCAGTTCCTCAATAAGAAGAATTTATAGTCTCATTTATTTTGATTCATTTATTCATAATTTCTTAATATTAGATGATGCGTCAGCATATGTATTGGCACTCGCACAGGTGCAGATTCTCTGGGCATGGCCACTCCACCCTTGGACCTCCTTACGGCACACGGCCTTGCGCTGGATATGGTTACAAGTTCCCTTTCCGACGGTGAAAAATTCAATGCAGACCTTGTTTCGGGCTGCAGAGATCGAGGTACCTGACATAAACATAGGGAAATTGTTAAACTTACAGAATTTCATCTATAAGACCATTTTCTTTTTTTGTATAAGGAGGGGACAATCACTTTCAGTCATTGGATGTGAAATCCATAGATGAAAGTGATGCAATATTCGAGAAATTAGGAAAGAAAAGATCCTTCGAATGTGTTGATCTAAGCATTGCATTAAAATGGACGGCTTATATTAATTGTTTTAGAAAACATTTTGTTAGATGTGTTTTTAAAGGGTGCAATTTGCATATGGATGCATCTGTAGGTATAAAGGTAAGGTAAGGGCCAGGAGAGCCGCGAAACGGCACCGTGACATAAATCTATTGATCCGAGTATTCATCTGTTATCCTAAATGGAAAATTTTATTAGGACAATATCCAATAGGACATTATCATCATCTAGTGGTACACTAAGGATAAAAACTAAGGAAGAGATAATAATTGACAACATAGAAAGACAAATACATAATTGGAACATACCAAGAGTTCTTATTACTGATATTTATAAAAAAAGGTACTTTTGAGTTTAGAACTAGCTATGCAATAAAAACGGTAGAACAAAGTTTGTTAGTTAATAGTGAACAAGAAAGTTGTTATTATCAAATAAAATGATTCAGACTCACAAAAATAAAGATTATAAGTATCTATACATAGGCTTTATACAAATTGCTGTAAAACCGCTTACTAGACTAGGATTAAATAACTCCATATTATTATGTCTTAGAGATAATAGACATAACAAATTTACTGATTCTTTATTAGGAGTTATAGAATCTAGTTTGTGTAGTGGTCCTGTTTATTTTAATTGCTTTCCTAATTATTCAGTATCTCTAAGTGATCTCAACCTCCTTAAAGTACTTACACTTAATATAAAAACTCAAGGGATCCGGGCTCTCAGAATATAGCTCTAATCTATAGGATATGTTTTAAAATTATGAATACACCTAGTCCAAATGTTTTGCAAATGGATACCAGAGGACATACAGTCTTCTTCCAAACAAATATAGAAAAGTCCAATACTGTTATCCCAAAATCAATAAACTGGTCTCAAGTAATTATCCCAGAAAATTGGTCTATCCATAATGAAAACCAACAGTATAGGATCCTTATAAATAATGAATCAGATCAAATAGTGGAACATCTTGACGGAAATATTGAAATACAATTCAACTCTAGTCGAAGAATTAGATTGAATTTTTCAGATGATATAGTGGGACCTCCAAGAAGAATACCTATACCTTCTAGACACTCTACCTCATCTTTACAAGATAAACCAATAATACAGGGATTGACAAGAACAGATAGTAATATACTCATACCATATGATCCTAGTCCATCAGGGAATGACCCAACATACTCAGATCTCGATTTTCAAGTCTTGATACTTCAGAAGAACGAAAAATTAAATATAGAATTGTTAAAAAATGATTACCTGTCTGAAGCCAATAGAGAAATAAGGGAATGGTATCTAACAGAATTTTCTCAAGAATTATTAGATGCATTTCATAAAAGATACAATAAGTTTATAAAAAGAAATAAGCAAAACATAGGCTTCTTTGATTGGTTGAAATTAACCCTCAAAGAAAATGATACTCATGTCCCTAACTTTTAGCTAAATACTCTGCAAAATCAATACCAAACCTTTTATACGACTGAAGGAGAAGAGATCCTAAGTATACATCCCCCTGAGAAAAGCCTACAAATTAAAGGAGTAATAAAAGGTAAACTAGAAACAAAAGCATCTCCTTATAAAATGGCTCCTAATGAACACGGCCATAATATAGAAATGATCCCACATATAATCGAACAAACTAATTATACCAATCTCTGTTTACAGACTATTGGAAAACAAACAACTAGGATTGAAAATATAATAGAAAGACCTCAAGGGCAGAATAGTAAAAGACAAGAGAAAAAGGCTGTATTATTTAAACCTCCTCCATAAATAAATCAGAAGCCATGGTGCTAGAAGCAAATTAAGCAAATGAGGAAGAAATATTCAAAATAGAAGAAGCCTTCAAAGAAAATAGTTTGAATATCAATAGGATAGATTATGGGAAAAAATGGAGACCTACTACTGCTCAATCAAGAATGTACCATACTAGGCCAACCCCGGTAGATATACAGTTTGAAGAAGATTTGGTTTCTCATACTGTATCCTACTCAGGAAGGACAATCGTCAATTAGAATATTGATGGTATGTCTGACTATCAGATACTCGATACCATGAAGCATATCGCTATGTATGCCATTGCCTGTAAAGTAGCAGGAAATCATGACTAGGAAGTAGCTAAGGCTATTGTCTGTGGTTTTACTAGATGGCTACGAGGCTGGTGGGACTTTAATATGAGTGAAACCACTAAAAATCAAATATTAAATGCTACAAGACAATGAAATGTAAAGAATGAATTCAATCAAGATATTCCTCATTGTGAGAACGATGCTGTCAATACACTCATCTATACAATAACCATCCACTTTGTAGGGAGTAGATGTCCAACATTATCTCATTATAAGTAGTATAAGGATGTATTCTTTTCACGCCTTCTAACTCGAGAGGATAGTAGTACGGACCATTGGAAGGAAAAATTCATAGCAGGTCTACCCTATTTGTTTGCTGAGAAGGTGAAAACCAGACTAAAAAATAAGAATCAAGGAATAATCCCTTACTCCCTTTACACTGTAGGAGAACTGTCTGTAGAAATTTGTACAGAAAGTCTTGCCCTATGCATTGATTTAAAATTAAAGAGGCAATTGGACAAACAGAGAATGACAGGGAAAAAGGAGTTATGAGATTTTTGCACACATTTTAGTTATAATACTGTACTCTCATCAGATAAAATCTATAAAAGAAAAAATAAGAATAAGAAGTATAAATTAAAAGAAAGATATTAGGTAAAGTTCACTAAGAAATTTGCCCCAAAAGCCAAATACAAAAAAGGAAAAAGAAAGCTTCTAGTATGTTATAATTGTGAGAAGGTAGGACATCATAAAAATAATTGTAAGGTTAAAAAGAAAATCAATGCCTTACAGCTAAAAGAAGTAATCAAAACCCAGATTTATGATATACTTCAAATAGATGATGAATCCGATATGAATACATCAGACTCCGATACAGAGTCTCTTATAGGGAGAATCGAGGATGAAAATCTAATCTTAAGTAGCTCAAACTCTGAAGAAGATATAGAAGATTGTCTTTGCAAAATGGTTAATACTCTTACAAATGAAGAAAATCTAATTATAGATTTAAAAGATAAAATATCTGATCCAGAAGCTAAAAGGGAAGCCTTAACACAATATTTGAAAATAGCTGAAATAAAAAATAAACCTGCTCCTCTTGTTAAAACACAGGAAGAATATAGTTTTGTAGAAATACTTAAAAGAATCAATAAAAGAGATATTATATGAAAGGAACCTTCTATTTCAGATTTAAAGCAAGAAATAAATGAGGTAAAAAGTGAGGTCCAGCATCTTACAAATAGAATAACGATTTTAGAAATGGCTGCTGACTTTTCAAACGAAGGAACTAATGATTAATTAGAATTTGATAGCCTTTTAGATACCCATAAAAGAATAATACCACCAGTTGTTTCTCCTGATTTAGACATGCCAGAATTCTCTGACCCAATCAATAAAGATTTACAAAAAAACAACTATCTAAATTTATTGGATAGAGTAATTACTCAAAAATGGTTTACCCTAATAAGAATAATAGTAAACATAGAATATAGCTTTCAATCCCTTGCCTTAATAGACTCAGGCGCAGACCTTAATTGTATAAATGAGGGATTAGTATCAACTAAATATTTTGACAAGACTACTCAGATACTCAATACAGCAGATGGGATTAAACTAATGATAAAATATAAATGATCTAATGCTGCTTTGTGCAATAATGGAAATTGCTTTGAAATGCCATTTATAATAGTTAAGGGGTTAAGTCCAGCTGTTATTCTTGGAACTCCTTTCTTAAATTTATTATATCCCTTGAAAATAGATAGTACAGGAATTGAATCAAATCTAGATGGACATAAGGTAAAATTCGATTTCATAGATAAAGCTAAGGTTAAAGAAGTTAATAATGTCAAACAGACTATAAAAAATAAGGAAACATTTTTATGCTCTTTAAAAGAAGAAATAAAATACAAATTAATAAATGAAAACCTTCTATTACCAGAAAATAAAAAGAAAATTGATAATATTAAAAGAAAAATAGAAGAAGAAATTTGCAATGATTTGCCAAATGCTTTCTGGAGCAGAAAAAAATATATGGTGAGCTTACCTTATGAAGAACGATTTAATGAAAATAAAATATCAACTAAAGCTAGACCAATTCAAATGAATATAATACTCCTTGAAATATGTAAGAAAGAAATTGATGAATTGCTCCAGAAAAATTTAATCAGGAAAAGTTCTTCCCTTTAGAGTTATTCAGCCTTTTATATAGAAAAAGCTGCAGAAAAGGAGCGAGAAGCACCGAGATTGGTAATAAATTACAAGCCTCTAAA